CCCGGCTCCGCCCCGGTGGGGACAACGGCAGGGGGGGCCGGGGGACCCCCGCGTGGGACGGGACGTGCGGCTCCAGCTGCTGCGTCCCGGGTGAAAGCGTTTCTCCCCCACCTGCCTGACGCTCGGAGCAGGGAACAGAGCCCCGGGGTCACCGCTGTCCCCCGAGACCTGCAGGACCCCGCGTCCCCCGTCCCTTTGGACCCTGGCCCCAAAGTCTGTTGCTACCCCAGTCCAGTGCTGCGGGGAAGGATGGTCTGCCTCACCCTCGTCTGATTTTCACTTTTATTATTGTAAATTCACTGTTCTCTCTTTATATATATACTTTTAAACATATATTAGATATAAAAGTCAGAAATGCTCCTCTTTGAACTACATATACTGGTGGATTTATAGGCGGATTTTGAAAAGGTGGGCAAGTCAGGAAGCCCAACCTGATCAACGCACACAGCAGCAGCACCTGCCCCTCTCCAGGGACAAGGGAAATTTATATATAGATGTATATATATGTAGATCTATACACACACACACATACAGATGCATTCATCCCCCTCTACATCCCACCCCTCCACCCCAACACCCTTCCCAGGCCGCCCCAGGCTGGGGCTCAGCCCGGGGAGGCTGGGGCTGAGTAGGACGGGCTCTCAGCAGGCTGGCGCTGGCAGGGCTGAGCCATGGGGAAGGCACCAGAGGACGGATTTGGGAGTTCCAGCAGAAGGGGGCACGGGCTTCCCTTGTTCCTATAGATATGCTTCCCCTCTCTGTGCCTGCGCTCCCCAGGTGGAGGGCTAGCAGTAACCCACCCCCGGGCTGGGAGACTGGGGCTGGGGCACACACGCTCCTCACTGGGACAGCTTGGGTTGGCAGCGCTATGGAGGGGAAATCCGCTGCTCTGCGGGCGCTGTGTTTGCAGGACATCCCCAGTGGGACAGTAAACACAGAGACCCATTTCCTAACCTAGTTGACCACTGGGGAGCATGGAAACGTGTCAGCAATTCTCCTCCAAGATAAAAAAATGTGGAAAAGTCATTGGCTGGAGGCATGGAAGGCCCTGAGCAGCGAGAGCCCTGGCTGGGAGGGCCAGTGCACTCCAACCGGCACTGCTGGTGTCATCCTGCAGCAGTGCAAGGCACCACCCCTCCCTGGGCTGGCAGGGAGAGACCCCCTGCTGCCACCCTCACTGGGGGTGCAGACTGGCACTGTTATCACTTCCCAAGAAAGGGAAAAGGCACTTTGGGTTTTTGGCTCCTCTGACAGTCACAGAGGCCAGCTGGAAGTCTTGCTCTGCTGAACCCTATCTCCGTGGCTGTGGAGGAGGGAGAAGTGGCAACCCCCACTCCCCAGCACACCAGGCTTGTGTGGTGAGGGGAGGGTGAGCCCCCGGTTCCCCCACATCCCTTACAGAAGGGGGCCTCTATAGGATTGCCTGTGACAGCCCTCAACTCAGATGGGGAACCACTGAGGCTCAGGGGCAGATCCCAGCGCTGCCAATAGCAGCACCCAGCTGGCATCTCTGCACCCCAGGAGTGACCCCAAACCTTGCGGGCAGGGAAGGGGCAGCTCCTGCAGTGGGCTTCATTTGCTCAAGGAGCCTTAGCTGCAGCTCCCACCAGGAGGAGAGGGCACTGCACACCCACGCGTGCACACACATGCACACACACATCCCGAGGCAGCTGGGGTCTCAGAGACATTCAAGGCAGGGGAGTCACTGACAGAGCCTGATTTGGGAGTCCCCACCATGAGCCTGCCTCCTGTGGGGGTCAGGCCATAGCCAGGCCCTCCGCATGGCTGTGGATGTGGGCTGTGCTGGACACGCTGCTCTCACCCTTGTAACTTTTAGGGGCTCGGCTGGCTTTCAGCAGGACCAGGAAGGTATCTGTGGAGATGGCCCCAAACTCAAAGGTGAAGGTACCATAGAAGACCAGAACATCGATGATGAACATCCACTCGCACAGGGCAGCCACGTGCTGCAGCACAAAGCTCTCCTGGATGAAGAACACACCGCCTGAGGGCATTCCCGTCAAGGAAAGCGCAAGTGGACCCCAACCACCCCACGGAGGACCACGTCCCACTGCCACTATGCTGGGGTGGACTTGAGCAGCCCCCTCGGCAGGAAACACAAGCCCTAAAACTAATAAAGCTCACATGCTTCCCCCAGCACCGGGAGGGCCTCAGCACAGGTGAGCAGTGGTACGTGTACCCAAACCAGCCTCGATAAATCATGGGACTGATGCCAGGCGGGGATTTTCTGAAGAGGCTGGGGCAGGGGAAGCTCAGGCTGCAGCCCTCAGGGCAAGCTGGGTGCCCAGATGCCTCACCCTGTCCACACCCTTTGCCTCCACCTCAGCTTCAGAGCACCCCCACCCCCCCCACCCCCGTCCATCTGCGCTGCTGGCTGGCTCACACCAGAGGGGGCCCACTCCCTCTCCTCCAGGTTCTGCTGCTGCTTCTTTATACTCCTCTCATCCCCACTGGGGATCTCTAGGGAAACCTACTGCCAGAGCCACCAAGGGTGAGGGGAGAAGGCAGGTACATCCCCCAGACCTCCAGGTGAAGCCTTTGGCACTACTCTGCTTTCTGCCAGCGAAAGCAAGACCTGAGAAAGCCAGAGAGGCAGGGACCGGACCTGTGAAGAGTAGAGCCCTCTGCTCCCTCCCCACATCCCACCAGGAGGGGTCACAGCCTTCTCCACACCATCTCCACCACAGGTCTCTGCCTTACCACTTTCAGTCCCCAGTGCTTACAGAGCAGCTTGGCCATGGCAGACAGGCACCAGTCCTGTCTCTCTTGTCCTTACATGCCCTGCCCATCCCTCCCAGCTGGCACAGCCCCCCAGCACTCCTGCCCTTCCCAGCTCCTTGACTGGCCTGCCTGCCTGCTGCAGTGACACAGTGGGACCCTCTGGCCCGTCCCAGGCCTGCCAGCAACCTCCAGGCTCCTCCTGTGCTGTTCTTTGGCCAGACCCCAGCCAGCCTCTTTGGGACCCATGGACTCTGCATGCTTTTTCCCATTCTTGCCCAATAACCACCACCTTGTTTCCTAATTTATCCCAAACCTCAGTCCCAAATAAGCCCCTGGCTCTCCAGCCACACACTCGGGACCATTCTTCCAGCCCCGTTCCGCCTGCTGCCGTGCCCTTCCTCCCCAGCATGGTGTTTGCAGACCCCAGTGCCTGTTCACCAAGCCCTCCCAAGTCCCATGGGGAGGATGGCTGGTGGGTGTTGGTGAGCCCCAGCTGGCAGAGAAGCTGCCACATGCCCACCTGCACAGAGCACTTTTGCACTCAGTTTTCATCATACAAGTAACTCAGATGGTCTTTGCATTGCCAAGGGCTTGACATACCTTTGTCTTAGCCCTTCCACTCTGCAAGGTGTGGGGCTGGAACCTGCAGTAGTGGCAGAACTGGGCTGCAGCAGCCAGGGCAGGGCTGGTTTGGGGCACCCCAGTGCCTCCGGAGATGCCCACCAGCATCCCTTGCCCTCCTCGACCCAATACTGCTGCTCCTCCAGCCTATGCCTGCAGTGAGCTGCCTGCCCTTAGCCCCCTACCCAACCCCTCTGCTGGCACCATGCCTCATTGCCAGACCAAAAGATGGAGGATGTGGGGCGCATATCTCCCACAAGGACCACCTTTCACCAGCCCAGCCCACATCTCCTCCCCACACCCATCAGAAGGATACTGAAGACAAGGGTGAGGAAGGCCACAGCAGTGAGGATGCTACGTAAGTGGCCGGTCCAGTACTGCCCACGGGTTTTGGCCATGCGGTAGGTGAGGATGGACTGCAGGAGCAGGAAGAGCATGCTGGTAGGAAAGGCCACCCCCGCCCCAATGTAGTGCAACACCTTGGCATGATCCACCTGCAGGGGAGAAATCATAGGTGCCAGCACCCTGGCATGCTCCCCCAGCACAACTCTGCGCCAGGGGGTGGGTTTGTGCCAGGCAGGGGTGCAGGCAGTGCCAGGAGTGGGTCCAGGCAGCTTGCCCTGTGCCCGACTCCTGGCTGAAGAGCAGATTTGGACGCATCATCTGCTGCTGGGATCTCAAAGTGCTTCTGTTTCTTTCATCTGTGGGGTGGTAGCTCCTGAGCCCCTTGGGCCGACAGCCCTGCTGTGCCTGGGGGAATGGAGCAGAGGCTGCCCTCTGCCCTGAGCAGCCTCTAGGGCTGCCTGCACCCCCTCCCGGGGGTCACAGCCCTGCCTTCAGCAGAGCCACTGAGCCATGGCAGGGGGACAAGGGGATCAGGGCCAGCGAAGCTTCTCCCAGGGGGGTGGCGCCGGCAACGGCCTCCTGCCAAGCAGAAGGGACCGGCTGCGGCAGGCAGAGGGCAGGCAGCTGCCGGGAGGCCGGTGCCTGGCAGTGCAGGCATGGGGGTGAGTGCTGCCAAGCCCCGGGCTACTCCACACCCTGTGAACACTGGCTCTGCCGGGTTTCTTGGCATCTCCCCCCCGGCAGCAAACACCCACAGAGTACAGCCGGGCAGCGGGAGCATCAGCAGCTTGGCTGGGGCTTCTCTGCCCCGCTGGCACGTCCCAGGCTGCGTGGGGTTATGCATCCATGGAGGGGACAGACTGTGCAGAGGGCCTCTCATTAAGGGTTAAACCAAACCCAGCAGCTTAATCTGGACCCAAAACTCTAAGTGCATAAGCAAAGATGTGTCCCAGCACCTGGGGAAGCAAAGCACCTGGTGGAGGTGAAGGAGTGCATGGATAGGGGTGCTGGACCAAAACAACCACCCCGAATCCTACACTGCTGAGCGCTGACACTGCCCTGCTCCAGCCAAGGCCCCCTCCTGCCTCCCCTACACCTGGGGACACCCAGAGGAGATGCCTTACCTGGAAGTTGCCGACCATGGTGAGGCCGGCAGCGCAGACCCAGCCAGTGGCCAGCCCCAAGGTGTTGAGGAGAGATGGCCCAAGGCGTTCCAGGAGGTGGGCGTACCGCAGTAGCCCCACCAGGATGACTGTGGGAGGGAGACATAGCCCCGTTGCATGCTACTGCCACATATGCCCTCCCCCACCCACCCCTACCCCCCGCTGAGGGGTGAGCACCGCAGGGCGCCCAGCTCCTGCTCCCCTGGCAGCAGGCACTTACCCATGAAGGAGCCCAGGCTGCAGATGAGGCTGAAGAAGCAGCTCTCAGGAGGCAGGGTGCCACACTTGCTGCAGGGACAAGGCAAGGCCCGGGGAGCCTTCAGCCGGGGAGCACTGGGGTGCAGCGCTTGCCCCCTCCCCAGAACACACTCCTGGGTTGCCCCAGGGGGGCTCCGACGCCTAGCTGGCCCCACATCCCACCCTACAGCTGCTCACCTGACAAGGGGGATATGGTTCAGTGTGCAGCAGGAGACAGGGCCATCCACACCGCACGATTGATTGTAATTCCTGTCAGGAGAAAAGGGACAGGCTAGGAGAGCCGAGCTGCTGCCTGGGACCCTCCTGCCTCCTGCTCACAGGCCCTGCAAGGGAAGCAGAGTTGCTCCCCAGCAAGCACAGCCCAACCCCAGGGATGTGCCTGCTCTCTGGTGACAAGCCCCTCCAGGGAGTGACCCAGTGCCCAACAGGGTCCTCTGGGAGCATCATAGCTGGGTTTCCACAGTCTGTCCCCTGCCTGCTGGCCCTGCTGCCCACCCAGAGTCCCTGCCTGCGAGGGAGAGGACATGGCAGGGTGGGGGCTGCACGCACCCACTGGGTGCGTGGGCCAGGGGACTGCGCTCAGGGGTTCTTGCAGCCCCAAGCCCCAGGCAAGAGCAGGAGCACCCGTGTGCCAGCCCAGCTACAAATCCCCGGGGTGGGTGCACGGGTGCAGCCGGGCATGCAGCTGCTGACAGCTCTGGGCTTGCACAGGCAGGGCAGGGATACCGAGCTGAACGGGAAACGGCCCCCATGGCCATAAGCACTGCAGGACAGTGCCAACCTGCCTGGGAGGGAAGGAGATGCCTGAGGGGAGGACGTGACAGGAGCAAGCCCCCAGGCTGCCTTGGGGAGCCCAGCACAGTGTCGGGGCATCCCTCGGGGGCCTGTTAGCAGCCCCCAGCACTGCTGGGCTGGGCAGGGCTCTGCTGCCCACAACCACCACACAGCCCTGGAAGTGCCTCCTGCGGCCATGGATCCTGCAAGCCTGGGGATCCAGAGCTGTTACCAGCCTGAGAATCCTTCCTGTACCACAGCTGCTGCCTGCAATGGTAACCAAATTTCCCCCTGCAGTACATGACCCATCACCCTCCTGGCTCTGCCGGGAGCTGGCACACACTTGTGGGAGATTTTTGGGTGCCCCTTTGCTGCAGCACCACTCAGGTACCTGGCACCTCTGCCTGGCACAGCTATGTGGGGCCCCCTCCCCACCCTGCAAGCAGGTAGACCTGTGACCCAAAGGGCCCCCTCAGATACCCCCAGCTCCATAGCAGGGACGGGAGCTGTGGTGGGGCCAGGGCTGCCCTGCCCCTGGACCAGGCTGTCCACCAGCCACCTCCAGCCACTCAGCAAGTGCATGGTTAAAAAAGGGCTTTTGGAAAGGGCTGGGCTGGGCTCTGGTGTTTTTTCAGTCTCCTCGTTTACTGGTGGCTTTGTTTTCCAACCGCCAAGCGTGGAGCCCCACGGCCTCCTCAAGGGCTGCTCTTGGGGCCGTGTTTGGTTTGGGAGGGTTTTTTTGTTATTATTTTGTTTAAAGCGAGCAGCCCGAGGCCGGGAAGCATTATTCATTATTAAGGGTTGGCTGTGCGGCAGAGACAACCCAACACACACATTCTTCCCAGGGCAGAATCAGCCATCAGGCAGGAAACGGCAGCGTGTTTGGTTTTTTTTTCCCTCCTTCTCCTTCAAACACTCCAGCAAAAATTAAACTAACACGGATTTTTCTGGGCAGATATCTGAGACACAACAAGCCAAAAACCCTGTAGAAGAAGTTGCCAAGAGAGCAAACAGGTTTTTTTTCCCAGCTCTTGCCTCTCCTGTGACTCTTCCCTATCCCAGGGTACCGCAGGCAGCTCTGCCTGTGGGGTAGCCGGGTGTCACAGGACAGTCCTGTCCCCCTGGCACTGCCAGATTTAGCCTCCAACAAGCAAGCCTCAACCTCTTCCAGGGAGACACATGGCCGTCTGTAATTCCCTGACCATTTATTTTCATACTTTCTCCATGCTGTGTTTTTTCAATGGCCTCCTTCTCCCCGCCCGCTTTGGTTTGCAGCAGGGCTGGACTGTTCACCAGAGCAGCTGTAACTGCAGACAAGCCTGGGCGGTAAAGGGAGGGTGGCTTTTGATAGCTCTTCTTGGCCCTGGCATCCTCACTGCTTTGCAAATGCAGGGCCCAAACCCTGCCAGCAGCTAGTCCCCAAGCAGCTCTGCTCCCAAAAGCCACTTGCAGTTTGGACAGGAAACACATGCCCTGGGGTGACAGTGCCCTATCACTGTCACCACCATGCCTGCTGGGGAAGAAGGTGGCTCTGCCTTCCATAATGCTTCCACATCTGTCATTCCCAGCCCCCTCCCAGAGCCAGCCTGGCCCCCCACCCTGCTTTCAGCTTGGTGACGGTGCAGGGGGGACCTCTGCTCCCCAGTGGTCCAGCACAGTGTGGCATAGTTCAAGCGGGTCATGCAGGGCTTTTAATAGAGATGGTCTGTGATGAAGGGCCCCTGCCACCTCCCCAGGCCTTACCAGTTGTGGACAGGGCAGATGTAGTTGTTGGAAAGTGCCATGGTGTACCTGGTGTAAGAGACAACAACAGGGGTTACTGCAGTCACGTGCCTCCCTACATCCCCCCTCCCCGCCAGCACCTAGGCCCGCCCCAGGGAACAGTGGCATGAGTGGGGGATACAAGCCCTCGCTGCCTGCCAGGGACCAGCACTCACCCTGTGGTACCTCCAGGCTTTACAAAGCAGCAAAAAGAAAAGCAAGTGCACAAGCGCAGCCCACACTCCAGGGAGGTCCTGCTTGCTGGGACCTGGTCCCCCTGCCTGGTACCCCCATCCCCGTTGAGAGTCGCCTCCTGATCCAGCTCAGTGTGGCTGCAGCTGTGGCTGCTCCTTGCAAGGCCTCTTCCCCATCGTGCTGCCATGCTCCTCAGGCTCTGGGAGGCTGCTTTGACACAGAGCCCCCCACCCTGGCATCAGGGCTCTCCACCAGCCTACAGCTGTGCCGGGTGTCACCCCATGGCTGCTGGGCTCTGCCGTGCTTCCTCTGAGCCCTGGCCAGCCAGTGCCTGGAGCTAAAGGAACTCTGGAAAAGTAGCCGGTGTTTTGACAGGGCATTTTGGGCAGATCAGCTCCATCGAGCATTTCACTGTGGAGTCAGCCCTGCACCTTGGTCAGTGTAACAATGGGTTCATGACATGCATCCTGCTCAACTTCATGGGGGTCTCAGCCCCATGCCCCCCCAGCCAGCAAGGAGCCCTCCTGTCTGGCAGCCACAGCACCAGACAGCACTACACTGTTCAAATCACTGCCACCAGCGGCCATAAACGGCTCAGGTTAAAAATAGGCCCTGACACTGGTAAGGAAACTCCTCTCCTGCCTGAGCTGGCCACATAACAGCAAGCATGCAAAAAGGATGATCCCGGCAGAGAGGTGCCGGGGCAAAGAGCAGGACAGCTGTGGGGAACCAAGGGGCAGCACTGACCACCGCAAGGGCTACTCACCAAGATCATCACCCCCCCGCCTCAGACCCCTCACCCAGCTGCTTCCCAGCACAGGTCTCCCCCAAGCATGCAGCCCCCGTCCCAGCCCTCCGTGCCCTCCTGGGAGGGGCCAATAAGCCAAAAGAGGCACAAACGGCACTGCCCTCCCCCAGCAGGATGTGCCCCCACTCACCCGGTACGCCATCACGGCTCTACATCCCAGGCATGGCCAGCAGGGCACCCAACTGCCCCGCCTCACCTTGCCACCATACCGATGAGGGACATGGTGTCCAACGGGCAGCTACAGGACATGTTTGGGGCCAGAAAAAGGGCCCGAGACGCCCCTCCCAGGGCAGCTCTGGCTGTGAGGACCATGAGCAGCACCTCCCTCCTGCGCTGCACTGGGCTGGAGGGGCATCTGCCCCACAGGGTCATCTACAGGAGGCAGCCAGGGCTTTGTGAGGCATCCATGGAAAAAACTTGGAGCATAACTTCCCCGCACTAGGGTCAGCATTTGGCTTCATCATGAAGAAGGACAGGGGATACCACAGGGGGAAAGCTCTCAGAGCGACCTGCATGATAATAGGTACATTTGCTCCATCCCACACCCCTAAAAGTCCCATCACCTAACCTGGGGCTCTCTGCGCCTTTGGGAAAAGTCCTTCATCCAGTGCTCACCACTGCTGTGGTAGAGGCACAGGGGTGCCAATGGGCTGGGGCAGGACAGCCCTATGTGACCAGCTGAGGTCCCACAGCCAAGGCCTGGGGAAGGGACCAGCAGGGTGGGCTAGTGCTGCTCACCCAGGTGACACATCCTCTGCCCCCACCACAAGGGACAAACGTCCCCTGACCTTCCCACCCATCGACCACATGGGATGGGTGCCCATGTGGTGGTTACAGTCCTAGCGCTGCAGGACCTGGGCTGGTGGCATCGCTCCCAAGGCCATTCCTGCGCTGCATAAGCATCAGCCACGCTGACACCAGGGCAGGGACATGCGATCCCAGGGGTTGTCAGGGGTGCGAGGCGAGGGAGGCACGTGCCAGCACCACTGCAGGGGACGAAGTGACCACGCTGGGTGACTGGGGGGGGCAGGGGGTGTGGGAGCGACTGAACATGCAGAAGTGTCCCAACATGATGTGAGGCCAGTGGTGTCCTGCAACCCCCCTGCCCCGCAGCGTCCAAAGCTGCAGCATCCCGCAGCATCCCACCCCGCAATATCCCGCCCCGCAGCCCGGGCGGCCCCGTCCCCGCCGGCGGCGGCTCCGGGCCGTCCCGCGGCACTCACACGATCCACATGCCGGTGATAGCACGACTTCCCCTGGCAGAGCACCAGCCCCATTTCCCTATTGGTAACTCGGCCATAACCCCCCTCCCACTCCGTGGCTGCTTTCAGGTGTGTCTTTACAGGTCCCTAAACATCTGGTGTAGCCAAAGGGTACATGCAGCTCTTGGGCCCTGCGGCAGCTGGTGCTCTTGAAACCTGCACCTTCCCACAGCCTTCTGTGGTGAGGAGCTGCCCTGTGCAACAGAGAGTTCTGGCTGCTCCCCTCCTCCCGCCCCGGGCGAGGGTGCAGGTTATGCAACAGGAGGAGTAGTATTGCAGACTGGAACTTGTAGTCCGGGGGGGGGGGAAATCTCATCTCCCTGCGTGCTGGGAGCCTCTGCACAGGCCCAGGGCTGCTCCTTGCAGTTCAGTACATCAGCTCTCCGACCTTTCGCTCTCCGGCACTTTGCTCCCGAGGCAGTTGTGCTCCCAAAGCTGCCCGGCACAGCAGGCCTGGCCCTCCCCATCCCGCAAGCCCCCACAGCCACCTGGCCTGGCCGCAGTGGGTACAACGCTGGCCAAAGCAGCGGGCACCGGGCCAGGGGCACAGCTGCTGCTGCCTCCAGCAGCCTTCGCAGGGCTCAGAGTGCTCCTGGGCCATGGGGCGAGCAGTACAAGCCCTGCTGAGCTGCCTTCCATGCTGGTGGGGCGAAGGAGCAGGACACCATGGTTTCAGGATGCTTTAGGCTCTGTAACAGATGCAGATTTTTCCAGAGGAGTTCAACAGCTGGCATTTCTAGGAATGAGGGTAACTTCTAAAAAAGCCAACTTAACTGTTTGAAGATACTGAATTCATGGAAATCCTTCCTACAGACCAGGTTTTCTGAGTATGCACAGATTCAATTTAAAAATTGAATCTAAAAGTGGTATTGCTTCCATTTCACAAGTTTCAGTGCCAAAGCCAGGGCTTAGCTTTCAATAGGGTTTTCTCCCTCTAGGAAGATTCACACAATCAGGAAAACATCCACAGTAACGCGTCCTACTGACACAAGCTAAATACCAATACTTATTTTATTCTGTTTCAGCAGTAGAAGTTAGAATAGAGTTCAAGGGTTTTATTGATAAAAATACATACATGCTACCAGTCAGTTGATTCTGATCTCCTTTCACTTCACTTTCCCTGTTATTTTTTCTTTGTAACACATGAAACCTTGTTATTGCAAAACCCAAGCAACATTCAAGTAAGTTTTTTCTGGTTTTCCAGTCCATTCTTATTTACAGTCTAGTGAAAACTGTTTAAAGTGCAATTCTGTCTGTCTTTCCAGCCGACATTCTTTCCATTCCAGTCTCACTTCCTGCATTTTCCTTGGGTGGCTTTTACTTTGCACTGCAATTGTCTGAATTAAGATGTAACGTTCTCAGTAGAAACTGGGTTTGCAAACACAGTTTAAAACACTGCATCTCCCAAACAGCTATCTGAAGGCAGTAGAAAAACTGGGCTTTGCCATTTATGCTCACACCACTCCGAGAAGTCAAAGGACTGTCTGGGGATCAGAGGGCAGCAGTGCTAACATCAAGGCACTTGACAACTGAGCAATGGTTTACAAAGAGTTAATAATCTAAAAGTTTCAGTGAGCATTTTAGAGACAGTTCAGAAAAACAGAGCTGTAAATAGAAGTGAAGGCTTGGAAATACGAGACAGAGTGGTAGGCTGGATACGGAAGGGCCATGGGCAGCGCAAGGAATCAAATACGTGAAAGAAAACATCTAAGGGCTGGAATGATACAATCTCGAAACAGTGAAGGGTGAAGGCTGCAGCAGTGAAAATATTCCAGGAATGGTGGAAATGGGTTAAGGGAATCAGGATGTAACCTGAATTAGGACTTTCCTAGTATGTGCATTACTCTTCCATTACACAATAGTTAGACCTTTGCTCATGCAATTCAAACAAACTCCAAGTTTTTAAACCCCTTATCAAGTCCACAGGAGTCTCTTGGTATCCTTGTGACAGGGAAGGCATTGGTGCCTCATGCAGCTCTATAGACACTGTGGCACTGTGTGGATCTTGCCACAAGACAAAGAGGAAAATATCAGGAGGGAACTATGTCTAGTTATCCATGTCGGTGGCAAGCATTAGCTCTGGAAGAGCCCAGGATCTCTCATGCCCCATCAGTGGAAACAAGTATTTCCTCATCAGACAGAAAATGCTCCCTTTTCTGAAATCAGCCAGATTGTCACTGAGGTCTCTGTTCTGGCTGTGTGCCGAGATGTCACAGGGCACCTGCTCCTCAGCCCTAGTCCCTTTCCTCAGTCCTGGCGGTGTGCGAGCACACACCAACATAACACTGGAAATTTTACAGCCAACACTGAACTGTTGCCAGATGCAAAAGCAATCTGGCTCCCATGATGGCAACTATTTCTGCTTAGTCCACTGCAGCCCCCCGAGCTGACTATTCGTTAGCGCAGGTCCCTCCGTGCTCCCTGCAGACAGAGCACACTGTTGGAGGATCCTGCTGTGTCAAGCCAGGGGGCTGGCAGTTGGGCACAGCACCTTGACAACTAAACTTCTCTCTTCCCAAAGCTCTGAGCTGCAGAACCACGACAGAAAAGGAGTGCAACACTGGAGCATTCATTTACAGGATGTGTTTATTACACTGTAAAAAGTCCATTGGATTTGTAGCCATTTACTCTGTATGTACACTGGTTGTACTCCCACCCCAACTGTAGGTTCCTCTCAGTACAGTATACACTGGCTTGGAGTCCCGCTCATGCCCCTCCCAGTCACCAGTGGGTTTTCTGAGACTGATATTGAGAATTTACCCAACTAATTAAGAGAGGAGGAAGAACAGAGATGCAGCACTTGCCAGGCAGCCAGCTCTGTCTGGGGCACAAGGGGGTGGAAGAGCGGGACATCCTTGCTGCAAGGCAGAAGCACAAGAATGACTACCATGGTGCCAGCTGCAGGGGCGCTCTAGGTGAAGCAGGTGGGCTCACAACAACTAGAAGATGCAGAAGAGTGCAGTTTCTGCAGAGCTTCCAAGAGAAAGCGCAGCAGACTAGCTGGGCATCCATCAGCAGGTGCCCCAGATCCCCACATCTTGTCTAGCTGAAGAGGATGTTCTCCTGAGGAATGGGGCTGGGCACCAAGAGGCCAATCTAGCAAGTAGGGGACCACAGAGCACTGCTGTGCACCCCAGGGAAGTGGCTCCCCAGGTGCTGTTTGAGACACGGCCATGGTGCTCTGCTCTCAGCTCACGAGACTCTGCATTTCTTTCTCATCTGCTCAACTAGGCAGAGCCTTCTGAATTTGTTCCCCCCAGCTAGAAAGCCTGATTACACTTACAGGAGGAGAAGGGAGGAGAGCAGTGCTGCCCCTAGCAGGCTGCCCTGCTCCCTGTCTAGCATGGGGATTGGTGTGATCCATGTGGCAGAAGGAAAGCACATGGCCACAGCAGACAAGAAGCCCTATGTAGCAGCTGGGAGCTGCACTGCAAGCAATCCATATTTCTATACAAAATTCTCAACCTGCTGAACCCAAGCATGCCCAGAGCCCAAACAAAGCAGTGCGACCAGAAGCATGGGCAAGAAAGCTAGGGAATGGCTGGGTAATTGTCTAGGGACTGGGCTGAATAATCAGTCAGTACAGGCAGTCCTGTACTGCAGCCTCTCTCTGGTGTGACATCAAAGAGTTTTCCCTTTCCACCAGATGAACTAGTGGCAGCTTGGTCCCAGGCTGCTGGGTGCAGGCGTTGCCTGGCCCCTGAGCTTGTGAAGGCAGGACAAGACTGGTGAGTGGAACCAGGTGCCCCTCCAAGATGATAGGGATTTCTAGGTGTATTTCTAGGCAGTTGCCCCAAGAAGGGAGCAGAATGAGATGTGCTTCAGGAGACTGTGGCAGCAGCCCTTCTGCTCAGATTAGCATCATCTTCCAAAACAAACATGCCCACTACTAGAGAACATTTGGCCAGCATCCTCCACCCACAGAGCTTCCTCAGCAGATAGTTCTCAGACACCCTCAAACTAATTGACTTCAGAGGTTGTCATGGGGTCAGAGGGCCGTGGAGCAGCTAAGAGGGGAACAGGAG